ACAGCAGCAGTGTCTTTTCGCAATCAGCTAGAGTTTGTTAGTCAGGTACATCATTGACACGTTGCTCTCGTCCCTCGTCATCCACGTGGCCACTCTCCATTTGCTTGGCCTCGGATTGTCAATCAGTCCAATGAACATGCTTGGCAGATCAGGTACATGCATTCCCCTGGCGCTTGATGATGAGAGATCTTGCAATAAAAAAGAAAGGAAGGTCTCATATCGAACCACCGTGTCTGCGCTTGTTCCTTGTACTACGCATCCACATGGCCACACTCCATTTGCTGGGCCTCGGAACTTCGATTACCGGTGTGAACACTGCTCGGTATATGCAGTCCTCTAGCTCCCGTTGAGCTGATTCTGTAATCGAGAAGGAAGCTCCCGTGTTGGAACAACGGTCTGTAGTCTCGTTTCGCCACGTGTCATCCACGTGGCAGCGCTCTGTTTGCTGGGCTTTTGAACCTTGGCCACTGTTCGGAATTCTTAGTATTCACAGTACCCTTGGCTTTTGTTGAACATTTTGCACTCAGGAATGTGTCATATCCAAATGCGCTGTGTTCGTACAAGTTAATGTTGGACGTGGTTCTCAACTCTACTTAAGTTGGGTGGAGGAAGGAGGAAGAGAGGAAGGAGGCATGAGGGAGGATGAAGCGGGCAAGAGGAAAGAGGAATAGAGAAGGATGGGCGTGGAAGGAGGAAGGAAGAAGGAAGAAGGAAGAAGGAAGAAGGAAGAAGGGGGACGAAGGAAGGAGCAAGGAGGAACGAGGAGGAAGGAGGCAGAAGTAAGAAGGAAGGAGGAAGACGAAGGAAGAAGGGAGGAAGGGAAAATGAGAAAGAAGGAAGGAGGTCAAGTACGAGGAGGCTTTCAAGTCATAACTGCCGCTGCATTGTCATTACGAAGTGCTCGCATAACTATGAACTGTCCGAACTTGCATCTGCTAGGACTTCAAACCTTGAGGACATTTGGCTTGATTGGTTGGTTCGTAATCATAACTGTTATGCCTCGACTTTTCTGTGTTTGTGACACATTGATTACGTCAGACAGCAGGGTAATCATGGAATCTGTGCTGCTGCTGGAGTTGTTTTGGGTAGGAATGGGTACTTTAGGTAGTCTCCCGCTGCTCATTATATACAGCCCTTGGGCTCACTGATTTTTTCTGATTTTTCATGTATTATCTCTTTTTTTTATCTTATGCTTGCTGGTGTTAAGCAACCGGAGTGGTACCCCTCGGAATAGATAGGGGTTGTTTTCGTTCAAAAAAAAAAAAAGCTTCAGATCTGTTTATACTGAAAAGAAACCCCACCAGTGAAAGCCCCGGCTTGCATCTTGGCTTGGTTATTGATGGGTCAGTGTATAGTGTAACGTTTAGCTATCTCGTCGGTGTCTTGTACTGAATCAAATTTTGGATAATTTAATGCTTACATGGAATCATCATTCGTGTTGTGCAGCCATGAGTCGTGGGTCTTTATTTTTTCGTCCACCACGTCTGCATTGCTTGGGCGAGGCGGAGGTGAGGGAGGAAGAGAGTGTCCCCCCATTATCAGGTGCTGCGTAAGCAATATCAATGGTGTTTTGCTTGATGATCTTGTCGTTGTTGCATTACTCAGTTGCTCTCGCTCATCTAACTTCTCTCTACTCTCTCTCCCGCCCTCTCTCTCTCTCTCTCTCTCTCTTATCGGACTCCAAGGATGCCGGTTTCCAGTCAGTCTTTTGCTGTAGTCCTTTCTGTGCAACTTTACAACTGTTGCTGACCCAATGTTTTTCTCTCTCTTATCAGACTTCAGTCTTCTGCAGATCCATTTTGACTCTGCGCATCCGTTTTGGATCTTTTGCTAAAAAAAAAAATTGAGTGTGCCGGCCATGGCCTACTAGGGGGGATGATATGACCAGACTCGCTTAGTAGGGCCGTTGCCAGCTGCTCTGTCGATTGGTGGGGAGCTACACCTGCTGAAAAGCGGGTCCAGCATCCCTTAAAGACATCTGTCTGAGACCGGGGCCATTACCCGGCTTCTGCTTGTGACCTGAAGAGTTTGGGCTCAAGAGTCTTGGGGTGCCTCTTCACCCTCACCGAGGGCTCTTTTGCTGATTTGTTTTCTGTGTTTTCGTTTTCACTGTTCTACCGATCTTTGTTTTTCTTTTCTTTTCACGCTTTTGCTGATCTATTCCTTTCCCCCCCACTCTTTTGCTGATCTTTGTTCTTTGTTTATTTGCTACTCTGTTTCCGATCTGAATTTTCACTCTTGATGATCGTCCGCCTTATTTTGCGCCGATCACCACCGAGTTCACTCTTTTTGCTGATTTCACTTCAATCTTGCTGGTTTCACTTTCACTGTTGCTGAGAGCCCTCATTGTACCCAAGTGGCACTGCTGTGCCTCGAAGACTAAACTGCCGCTAGAAGACTTGACCTTTACCGCCTTGTGCCTGGGTCATAAGTGTGCCTGTCCGCAGCGTAATGGCTGACATGTATTATCCCTTCCATCAGCCTCGCTGGGAGATTACGGTTACCGTCTTCCCACAAATAGAACGTTTGGTCATTATACGGTTACCGTCTTCCCACAAATAGAACGTTTGGTCATTATAGCCGTATTTGGGACAACTTTCTGTCCAGCGCCATCCATGACCGGGCCGCTTTATCATTCCACTTCCTTTTTTTTTTTTTTTTTGCATTGTCATTCATCTTGAGTCACAATCATCTGTTGTCATTCATCCTCTGTTGAGGCGGTGTTGGTAGTGAGTGTATTCCTATTCTGCACATCCTGTTCGGGCAAAAAAAAAAAAAAAAAAAGAGAAAACTGCTCTGGAGTCACGCTTTGAGTTCGGAATGAGCAAAAACATTGGTCCGTTGGCAGGTATGTCGTGGCTGAGTTTGGAAAGGCAGAAAAAACATGGGGAAAGGCAAAAAAAAACATGGGGCTATAACGCCCTCCCGGAGGCTGCAATCTCACACGTTTTGTTCTTCTGTTTTCGGCTTCTTTCACGCCCATAGGGTTGTTGCTTTTTTTTTTTCATGCTATAACACCCTCCCGGAGGGCACGCACAGTCTCAGACGATCTCCAGATTCTGTATCCAGGTGCTTTCACGACC